GGCCCCTGGCTCTGAGAAATCACCAAGCTGCAATCACCTGGGTCCAACAGTTTTGTATCCAGCACAGCATTGCAGTCTGTGCTCAGCATAGCATGGATATCCTGTGGCCCTGGGGCTGCTTGGCCCTAGCTGGCTTCCTATACCACTCCCAAACTTCAAGCCTGCACTGGGAATACATTTCACCTGCCCAGCCACAGGCCACTGCCTGCCTCCCATAGGCACAAGCCCTCTTGCAGCAGTGGCAGCTGCACAAAGTGAGCTCATCTCCACTGCCAGACACCCCTTTGGACCTGCTGCTAAGAGTGCAGGGAGGACAAGCAGCTTTCTGACCCACTACTTGCAGAATTCACAGCTCTCTGTCTGCTTACTCCATAGGAAAGGCAGCCCCACTCTGATCTCCCTGTCATGGACCATGAAAATGAGCTTCTCACAGGCAGATGAGGGGACACCAGCAGTCTCCAGGGCTCCCCAGTACCAGACAACTACTATGTGGAATGGTTTACACTCTCATTTCAAAGGCAGGTGCTTTGTGACTGCAGAAGTACCTGATCTAGGGTGGACATAAGAAAAGAAAAAATAAAATCTGCCTACATGCTATTACTTCTAGTAGGCCTGAGGTAAACATCAGCAACTCTCTGTGGAAGAAGAAACAAAACAAACACTTCAGTGTCCACTACAGTCACTGGGGACATAAAGCAGCTCTGTAGATTCCATTAAACTCTCCTGTAGGGAAAGAGAAATCTGGAAGAGAAAGAGAGGGAGCTCTTCACTCCACCAGACTAACAAGAGGGGAGTGGTAGTGCAAGCATCCTGATAATCTCCAAAATCTCAAAAGCCACTAAAACGCTGATAAGCAAGGCAGGGTGGGGGGTTGCATTTAAACAGCATCTTGGCATCATTGCTCCTAAGAAATCACTGATCATCACAAGAAAGAATTAAAACATGTTTAAAAAGTAATAGCAAAATGAACTACACAAGTGTCAGGAAAATTTAAACTGCATTATTGATCCAATGTAAGTCACAGATGGAAAGTAGAACCTGTGGCCCAGCACGCCTTAAAATTAACAAGCAATCTGCACATTATAAAAGTTCTACATTTCAGCTCCTCAGAAGAAAGAATCTCTACAGAGTGGACTGAAGTCTGCCTCAGCTGCTCAAAGGGAAGTTGTGCTTCTGAACAACAGCAACAGGACTGGCATGTTACCTCACGAGTCTGCAAAATCCTGCAAAGAACTTTTCAAACTACATCTCAAAACTAAAATTCACAGAATACAATACTGGGTGGAAGAAGTGCAGAGTTAAGAAACTTGACTAAGATCTCAGAAGACGCAATAACTCAGGAAGCAAACCCTTGCAGAAACTGGTACAGAATAAGGTCCTCCCATGATGACACACTACATGATTTCTTGGGGCTTTACAAACAAGTAGTGTCAAGTTTGCCTTAACAGCAGGAAATTCAGATGCTTGCCTATCTGGTCAGGCATTTAAGGCACACAAAAACTGAAGAACCTACCGCTCTAGGTAAGCAGAAGTTTGCAAATGGCCTTCTGCTGACATAATAGGAATTGTGAGGTTTGCAGTTCACATAAATTCCACTGCTTTTTCCCTTCCCTACATTAAACTCACTAAAAAATAAGGAATGTTCCATGCTCTCCAGAAAGGGACATTCAGAACTCCCACATTTAGTAGAGGCTAAAATAAGTAAAACCTCACTCCAATGGAATTAAATGACACATATCCCCAAACTGACCTCATATTGAGCACTGTGGTGGTTGGTGGCTGTCTAGAGAAAGAGCCTGGCAGGACTCTCTCAGAGCACCACCAAGACTTCTCACAAGAACAGAAGTTAGTCCTAGGGCACCTTGAGGGAGGCAGGTAAATATTATTTATGTGGACTCCAAAAAGTTTCTATGTTATTATGCAGACAGATAAAATCATTTCACGCAGAGTGAGAACACTGATTTTATGCAGCAAGCTCCAAAGCCAAGCAACAGCTCCAGTGTGCTCTTCATTAACAAACTGCTGTTAGTTAAAAACTGTCCCAGCTGAGGCCATTGCAAGTCTCATTGCTCCATAACAGTACTGTGCAACTTTCCCCTTCACCATAAGCAGAAATGCACAATGAGTGGCTTTTCTCATGTCTACTTCTACAACTAATGTTTAACAGAAGGCAGAATTTTAAAAATCTTGTTCTTTCTTCACAAGCATAGTAAAGCTATTCAAGCTTAATGCAAAGTCAAGATGTGATTTTTTTTTTTCTATTCCCACTCAGGAAAATAATGATACAATATTAACCGTAATATCAAGCCCAGGTTTCATTAAGTACGTTTAATAGAAAGTACAGCTATTACCAATTCTCAACCCTGAAGTTCTTATGCTGCTCCTTGGAAAAAACTGAAAGCCTACTATACCTTGGTCTGCTTTAAGGTTTTTGTTAATCCACCTCCGAAAACCCATTCAAATTTTGGCTCAGACTCCATCCACTTGAGAGTTACATCCTTTTTTTGTAATACAAAATCAGGAAAACATCACTTAACTGTGAAGTCATTAAATAACTTGGACAGAACAGCACGTGTCTGCTGGCCAAGCTCAAGGTGCACTGGGACAGATCCAGATGGAAATTTCACACTGCACCTGTCCACTCAACATTACTAAGGGAAGAGTGATCAAAGGCAAAGCCAGAAAACACACAACAATCTGAATACAGAGGGAAGTCAAGTACTGTTGAATAAACCCCACTTGATGCTAATTAACATGAAGGCTGGCCAGAACCTCCTGTGATTGAAACTTGCACTCTATTCAAGCAAAACTTTAGGGAAGCCTGGCAGAACCAGCGACTGAACCACAGGTGCTGGAAAATCTGTCTGGATCTGTGAATGGCTTTGGTACCACGTGGTGATGGAGAACAGCCCGCATCAGAGCAGGGGAGCTGGGAATGGGAGCCAGCCAGATAATCACACAGTGCTCTCTCAGGCCTTTTGTTTGTTTTATGAAAAGGACGTGCTGCCAACTGGTTTCAGATCAAAATTCATCCCAATCGGGAAGGAAAGAAAATTCCTATAAAATGATGCTCAGTAGGAATTAATCAGAAACACAGCCCTCCTGAAGGCATAAGCCTTTTCAGTTAAGTAAAAAGTTGCCACCAGCTAATGTGCAAGACAGTACTGATTAGCCATCTGGTGAAAGTTCCTGCTAAGCTTGCCATGTCACCCCCCCCGTGCTGAGGAAAGCAGAAGGTGGATCAGTTACATTCTGTCCTTTCCTGCAATGTGTGGTCATCCTTAGGAACACGACACAAAGCTTTCCAGTGCATCCAGGAATTGTATGTGTTCTGCCTTTTCAGCTGCCTTTTTTTTTTTTATCACTGCATCCCAGGTAAATTATTTAAAATAAAAATTACCTATTGCTTTTTGAAAGCTGAATTTATCTTCAACCTTTATCCACCTTTGTTATTTTTACCCCATTATTTCCTTCTGCAAAAACTGAAATGGCCAGGAGGCTTCCCAGTCATCTAAAGAGCATCAGTAAACAAGAGCAGAGACAGATGGCAGAGCTCAGTTCAAATGAGCACAAGACTCAGCCTCTCCCTAAAACCCAGGAAGAATGCAGCAGTCCCAGAGAGAAAACAGAGATGTCCAACCAATCTGATAAGGGAGAAGTCACTGTGAGGAGCTGCAGAGCTTCCATGTACACTGAGCATCCATTACAACTGTCCAGCCTTCCAATAATACAAGAGGATAAGAGGATGGCAGCACAGCACAGAAGAGTTCTCTCTCCATTGCTGCTCCCAAAAGTATTGCTGACAAAAACAATCAGCAGGGAAAGTAAAACCAGGCATCTCCTTCAAGCTGTTACTCTGCTGAGAAGAGAACAAACTCTCACAACCTGAGAAAGTGACATCTCTAACATGCCTCTGAATTCACCCACTACTACAGGAATTTGGTCCTGTTGACAAATAACATGTTAATCCCTTATTAAAATGAGAGATTCAAAGAAACAAAGAAAACCCATGAAAGAAATCACAGATTTATAATTAAAGAAATCTGTCAAAACAAACATTCCTATTTTCTTCATTCCTGGATTTGATTTTCATTTACTGTGTAGACTACAGGTGTTAGCACAAGATACTACTTACATTACATGCCTTGCCTTGCTAAATAGGTTCAGACATCCACATACATTCAAAAATGCATCTGAATTAATACAATTCCTTGTATACCTCTTCCAACTGTAAACTCACTGTGATTTCACAGACACACCTGCACGCCTGAATGAGTTACATAAAATCAGGTTCAAACACTGCCCATTCTTCCCCAAATGAAAAGTTTTATTCTGCTGAAATTTAGTTAAAATTTTTCCCTCAGGGCTTCCTGGTATTCCAAATTCTTCCTTCACACAGCGATAGCAGAAAGCTCCAAGAACAGAGCTGCACAATCATCACCTCCAATCAGCTCTAATTGAAGGCTGACACGAGACAGAACGAGAAACTAGCACTGCAATTAACACACACAGGAAAAAACAAGACTGTGGGAGCAGCATCATTATCGGTAAAGCTCTGGCAAAACCCTCGGGTTGTGGCTTGCCGGCCCACTACCACCTCTAAGGTAGAGTTTAACTACTTCATAGTGCATAAATATGAGTGAGGGAATAAACTGGTGATGAATTCACCACAGATGGTGAATACCTGGTGAAGTTCTGGCCCCTTTTTAGCTCAGTGCTCAGACTGATACTTTAAGAAATTATTAACATGGGACTCCATTGATCCTCTCAAAAGAAGTCTGAATCAACCCTTCTGGGAATCCAGACTGAATTCCTAAAATGCAGTGTGACATATATTCTGTATGATCTTCCTAAAACAGCAAAACTACAAATTAAACACAGAATTCTCATACGAAACAGTTGCCCCCTCACAGTGATTCACCCAGGGTCTCCCATTCATTTCCATGATGCCATTCCCTGCTCTGTACATTTAAAAGACTCAGCAAAAAGCTGGCACACACCTGTATCCCCGTGGAAACAGCTGTCCTGGTGACATCTCGCAGAGGGCAGATCTCCATCACTTGGCCAGATCTGTCCTGTTTTTCGTACACCCACAATAGTGGCCTCGGACACGATGACCTGCTGCTGCCGGTGCCGTTTTTGAGACTGGGGGGTTGGTGGGCTGCTGCTGTCAAAGGACTGCTGGGAGTTCTGGGAGGGGGAACGGCTTTTATCCCGATACATGCGGTAAGTGGTGGGGCTGGGGGAGACGTGGCTGGACTGTCCTGAGGAGAAGTCTTCCTCACTGGAGGTAAGGTTCTCATTCGAGCTACAATCAGGAGTATACCCTCCTCCAATATCTTCAAAACTTCTGGGGGAATAAGATCTCCTGGGCCACGTGAGATGTTTTTCCTGGTCAGGTGGGCCCTGATTTCGCAGAATAGGTCCTTTTCCTTCTCCTTCCCCCATCATTCCACCAACATAGATACTCTGATACGGCTGAAAGTCCATGGGCTGCCAAGGTGAACGGTTGCTGCCATTGGCATTAATCAGGTTATCTTTAAGAAACTTGGGGTTCAGTTCAGCATCCTCATATTCTCCATCATAGCCAAAACTGCTCTCTGAGGACCTTCCCCTGTAGGCAGGCCTCTGGAACTCGCTGAAGCTGGGTACCATGTTAGAAGGCAGGGAGTGCAAAGACTTTTTTCGTTCCATTTGCATGGCTTGGCTACCAAGGGAGCTTATTTTATCAGAAACATCTTTATCGTTGACCTTTACTAGACCCTTCTCATGATGATACTCCATGTTCACATAAAAGGGCTTTTCAACAACATCCTTGTTTTCACTAGAAGAATGTGAATTAACCTTTTTCATTCTCTCAAAATTGGACCTTAGGGCTGCCACACTGGTGCTGTTCCCTCTCTCCTTAGGTTCAAATGATCCCTCCTTCTCAGCAGATCCCACCAGCCTGCGAGTGGAAGCCGATCTGTGTTTTGAAGGAGAGCCATCCGTATCACAGCGATTCTCCATGTCTTCTACAACTCTCTTCAGTTTCTCTTCACCATAGTACTTACACCTGTCCTGCTCTCCTTCTCCATGGTGGGGGCTGTCCAAAGGAGACAGGTCTGACCCATCACTCTGGGTAGACAGCTTCCGCATAGAGGGTATCCTTGGTTTGAACTTTTCCTCCCCATGATGTGACTTGCTTTTTTCATATTCGTCTTGGTCAGCAGACTGGTGATGATGCAGGTCCTGGATCTGCTGCTCTGCACCCCCTTCAGGCAACTGAGAAACACGTTTAAAACCCCATCTCTGTCTATCATAGCTTTTCTTCTCCTTTGCCAGAAGAGTCTGCAGGTAAATCATGCGGAACCTCTCCTTATTAACCTCCATCTCCAGTCTCCGGATAGATGCTTTGCACATCTCCAGTTCCTGTTCAATGTCTCCCACAGACTTCAGCTCCATTTTAGGAGGCTCAGAGTCTGCAAATTGTGCTTTCCAAGCCTCTACAAACCCCACAGGGTCCACCATTTTGCATACGGGAGTAAGTGGGGAATACGAGAAGGAGGCTGGAGAGAAAGAGGTGGAAAGAAAAAACCAACCGGATCTCACATGTAGAAGCAGAAACAGCTCGGGCAGCGTCAACTCAGCGCGTCTCTTTCGCGGTCCATGCAGGGCACTGGAAGGCAGGCAGCAATCCTCTCTCGCAATCGTCTCTCCTCCCCGTCTCCTTCTGCTTCTGCCGGCCTCAGCCCTGCGTACGCTCGCTACTCTCTCCCCGGCATGACTGATCGTTTGCTGGCGAACAACAATGCTCCCACCCTGGCGATCCCCCAGCACTTCAAAGCGCGTGGACAAAGGAATGGGCTCGGGGCGGGGGAGGGAAGGTAAATATCGCCCCCCACCCACCTCCTCTCGCCGCCGTCCTGGGCACGGTCCTCAGCGCGGCCACGCTCGGAGCCCTCCGCTCCGCGCTGCCTCGCCAGCCCCCGTGTTGTGCTTTCTCTTTCTCTCTCCTCCTCTCCCCCTGCCCCTTTGCCTGTCTCCTCCTCCCGGCTATTGTGCTGCGCTCGGGGCGCGCACGGTCCCCGCGCGGGGCGGCGATGCGGCGGCGCGTCCCGGCCGAGCTCCGCCGCTAGCCGGCGGTGCCCGAGCGCCCCGCGGCCCCGCGGGAGCCCCCCCGGCGGCGCAGCCCCCGCTGCCCGCGGCGGCCCATCGCGGCCCGGCTCCGGCGGCGCTGCGGAAGGGGAGGGGAGGGAAGGACCCGGCGCAGGCACTGACACGGCGCTGGGGCCTCTTAAAGGGGCAGCCGGGCCGGCCGGGCCGGGGGACCCGCGGGGCTGGGGGGCCCCGGCGCCTTCCCCGCGGCTCCCCGTGAGACAAAGGCAAAGTCGTGAGCAGTCCCGCCCGCTCGCCCTTGCAGCCACAGGCCTGGGCATCCTCACACCGTACAGACATGACCATAGCTAAGACTGGTTAAGAACATGCCATGCACACAGCCCTGTGTGCATAGGGAGGTATCCATTCCCGTCCATACAGCCATGCCCTCATATATAATGTATAAACATCAGCACGTCTCTGTGCTCTCTCTTATGCTCATAACAAGGCTCTCCTCCCAGGCATTGATGCAGCTCACCTTCAAAGGTCACGTTTTCCCCCACTCATGTAAGTGCTGGTTAGCAGCACGCTTGTCATTCCCTCGATTCTACCTTCCCTGCCAGTAAATTATAAGCTGGATCTCCGAGATGGGCAGCTGCTACTCTGATACTGACAATAAAGGCTGTTTTTTTGGGCATTAGTCTCACTTTTCTCTTGTATATTATTTAGCCCCAGTAACTCAGTCCCACACTTCACCTCTGGGTGAAGGGTGGCAAATTATTTAAACAGAATTCTGGGTGCTGGGTATTATTTTCCTTCTGAAATCACACCATCACACTTCCTTCTTAACCTTGCTTACAGCATGTGTCCTTTCCATGTACTAATTCAACCTCTGAAAAAAGGGTAAAAATCAACCAAAGCTCCATCTTGCCTGTTTGGAGGACAGGCAAAGATGATATGTACCTCTCATATCCCCCATAAAACTGTTTCCTTTCATGTTTGTGGTGAAGCATATTTTTCTGGTACATGTTGCTAGAAAAGAGAGTGGGATATAGCCCTCATAAGAACCAATAAAATCCCATAGGAATGAAAAGCACAACTCCACTGGAGTAGCTCTCTTACCTTTGAGACATGTACTGTTTCGAAATCCATTAAACAGTTTTCCTCTCCATGCTTTTTTATATGCCAATGAAAATATTTTGGGGTACTTTCAGCTATATCACAAATGGCTACTCATGTATTCACTTTTGCATAGTTCATCCCTCTTGGTTTTGTTTCCTGGCTTTAACTGCTTTTCCTGCACTTGTTTCCTCAGCTTTTAACACATAACAGGCATTGGCTGACCTATATGGAAAACAGATTATGACCTAAATAGTTATAAAATCTATATGTTTAATAAATAACTCTATAAATCATTCAACACATCTCAATCTGTCACAGAAGTAAACTGCCTTTTCTCTATTGATTTTTTTTTTTTTTTTTTTTTTTTTTTTTTTTTTTTTTTTTTTTTTTTTTTTTTTTTTTTTTTTTTTTTTTTTTTTTTTTTTTTTTTTTTNTTTTTTTTTTTTTTTTTTTTTGCTTAATGGCAGTTTGACCAACAAAATTCTGACATGCAATGTATTTCTAGGAATAATAAGATTTTACTGGCATGGTTATAAAAAACAGCAGGTATGTGACATCACTGGGGTCTGTTCTGAATTCATACAGAACTTTTACTGAAGGCTCACCATTCTGATTTATTTTTGGAGTGGTTTCTATTTGGGTCCACTTTTCTGACATTTGTGTCCTTTCTGGAGGGAGTAAAAACTGTAATGAGTCACATGAGGGATTTCTGTGTGCAAACTTACCGTTTAGTGAATAATACTGATAAACAACTACACCCTCTTTATCTACTGAGGTAGCACAACTCCAGAAATTCCACTGGGAATTGAAGTGTTCTCTGAATTTTTGCTGATACTTTATGCATCGAAGAAAGCAGTATTTTAACTGGATACAACATTTCGTTAAGACTACGGTGGCAGACGCACAGCTGTGATTTGAGACGGAGAATCCTGCGATGAGGGGCTGAACTCGGGCCGGCCCGCCCGGCACATCCCCTCTGCTGGCCGGTGGGAGATCGCAAAGCGCCCCCGAGCCGGCGCGGAGCAGAGCCTGCAGCGACCGCCGGGCTCCCTCTTGTGGCAAGAAGGAGCCGCTGCATCATCCCACGCGGAAGAACCGCGGGTTTTTGAGGACAAAAAAAACAAATAAACAAACAAAAAAACCGTAGGACATAAGGTTAGCTTTTAAAGTGAGAAACAAAACATGCTTTCTGATCAATATGTGGTTGAAACTAAAAAAAAAAATCGTATTTTTGTAAACACAAAGCAGCAGTCTTGGAGAAGTTTGATAAAGCTGACAAGTCTGGGGAAGTCCCATTCAGTCTAAATCCTTCTAAGAACCTGGGGGAAAAAAAGGAACTCTCCTTCTCCAAATTCAGACAATGGCAATTTCTTACTGTGAGAACAACTTCCAGGCCAAAAATACAGGAAAGTTATCAACCCTCTCCACCACACCAAATACATATTCTCCTACAACTTGCCAAACATTTCATTTTAGCTTACATGCTCTCAGAGCATTCACTCACCAGTGTGTTACATTAGAACACCCTCTAACTATTAATGGAAGTCGAAAACACAAAGGGGACAGATTTATTCATGCAGAATGGACTCCAGTACTACCACGATGTAAATAAACCTAGAGCTGGGAACCAACAGGATTCAGAGAGTTCATTGCATGACCTATGTAAGTATAAACAATCACATCTTAAGTGTCAAACAATAACTCAACAGGTGAAATAACACCATTAAAAATTAAAAGAGCAGGCTTTTATAGTAAGAAATTAACTTTGTCAGGTGGCTTTCTTAAATGGCTTTTGATCCATTACCAGTGGGTTTGCTCAGCACAAATGCATCGACAATCCATGAACACATTAACTTTACTTATTAAAGAAAAGAAACAGCACAACTTCAGTACTGCTTTTGGGAAATGGATTGTTACAATTGCTCTTTACCTTAGCTTCAGACTGACTCCAAGGTTTATTTCAATTTCTCACCTGCAAATTCCACAAGGAAGCCAAAACTGTGATTGTTGCCATGATCACTGGAGGGATTTCAACTGGCATAGAAATTGTGGTTTAGTCTACCTACAATTAGAGTTAATAAAGTTTTTTCAACACTGTTTTTCAAAGTATTAAGGCTTCTTTAAAGTCAATTAATTTGCTGATAGAATGGATTTACAGAGATAAAACATTGGCCAGGTAGAACTTAGAAATTTATATTTATTTTCTATAGTTCGTTTCCTTTGTGCTTTTCTAAGCAACTCATCATTTGCAACATGATCCAAGATTCATCTTGGATGATAAATTATTAATATGGAGTTATTTGCAGGGGAGGTTTCAGGGGTGTTAAAAACACCCTTAAAACCAACCAAGCAAGCAAAAAAATCCAAACACACAAACAAAAAATTACAACAAAAAACCCAACAAACCACCAAATAAAAAACACCCAGTCTCAAAGCATCCATCATTTAATAAACAGACTCAGGCTATTGTTCCATGATAGCTGATGATTGATAGACTATTACATTTGTATGTGAAGTTTTTGGAGCTCCAGATGATACAAAACAGTAATGACATCGTGCAATGTGCTGAATCCCTAGGAAAAAACTGTCCCAGTTGATTTCCCAGGCAACATGATCGTCTTGTTGAAGAGATTGCATCTCTGTGATTTTGTACAATAATTGAGCTCAGCAACAGAAGAAACCCTTAGGAGATACATTTCTTGGTGAGAAAAAAAAAAAAAACAAAACAAACAAACAAAAATGGACCTTGCCTTAGATTTGTTCCTGAGTCATTTTGCAGTGTAATCACTGTCTCTCATGTCAGCACTGAAAGCCAGCTAAGCTGACCTGCTGCAGCAGAGTGAACCATCTCCACTCTCACCCAGGCTCAGGAAACACGAAGGCCATGTCCACTCAGCCAAGGCCTGTGCTATAAGCACAGTGTAAATTCACCTCCCTTGTGAAACAGACTCTGGAATTTAACAACTGCATAGAACATCAGAAGGTCAAATATTATACATTTGGATAAAGAGCTCCTTTTGTACCCTACAGATTCATTTTTTCCACCAAATGCTACATTTGTGTCCTTGCCAACAGACAGCACAATTGCCAAAGTGAAGATTGTCTGATAAAAAAAGACACAGAGTTCCTAGATCCCTATTCATCATATTCTAGGAAGCTGCTCTAACTTACGTCAAAAGGAAAAAGTAATAAAAAGCATGCTCAAGCTATCTTTACTCCACTTTTTCCCATTTCTTATAGAAGTGGGAGAAATGGCAGAGAATCCAGAATATTTTCAGATTGAAGAATTTCTTCCTTAACAAACATCTTTATTTCTCAGCATCTCAAATCTGAGTCCTGTTAGAATTCTTTCTAAAGATACTGTTGTTTCTGCAATGATTGAATCAATATCCTAAGAAACAGTACCTTGGAACTGTTCATAGGTTTTCCTTCTCTTCATTTAAAATAATTGCAATATGAAATTTATAGCATTATATATTTTTTTATGCCAGCAAGCCTGACATGTTGGATATGAATCCTAGAAACATGGAATTCTAAGCTAGATACAACAGAGTATTAGAGTTCAGAGAACTATTGGAAAAATTAGAGGGAAATAATATGTTTTCCATTTTATGCACCTGTGTGACCATTCTTTTTTGTTCAAGAGAATGGAAAAGAACAGCAGTCTTATCTGGCAACATTTTTCAAAATATAGACAGCTGTGTTAAAACAACAAAGCTCCTACCTGCACTTCTTTTAGTCTTGGAAACGTTTAATACTGGGCTCTGATTCTCAAGTGGAAAATGAAAAGTAATAAATATTTTTCCTGTATGGAGAAACCACAGTGGAAACTATGCAGTCTGCATTTGTGTACTTCCAAGCCTGATACTTGAAAAGATTTATTTTCAAATAGTTTTAAAATACTTGGAATGCATAAAAGCAATTAGTTA